CTGAAATTCACTATTTATTGCAAGAAATTTGATGCTTCCAAAATTCGAGTGCCCGAGCTTTATATGTCATAGCTAATTATCATCGACAATCATAGAATTATAATTAGAAGCATTACCATAATTGATCTGCATTGGAAGTAAACAATTGGATGACATCTTTGTCTTCAGGATCATTCATTTCTTTGTGTCACTTATAGTGTACCTGTGTTTGTTGAAACACAAATCATAACCACTTTCTGCTAGTTGTCTTATTCTTAACAGATTTTGACAAATAGTATGGGTATAGTAAACTTTGAAAATATAATCTGTAGACTCATTGTTTAATTTAATGGCAATTCTTCATTTTCCTAAAATTGGGACTTCATGGTTGTTGCCTTGTTTCACTGAAGAACGAAATAATTTATCTAACTCAGAGAATACTTCCTTATTTTCACTCAGGTGATTACTATAACCTGAGTCTAATAACCATTGACTATTATTACTTTCATTATTATCATGAGCTGACATCAATAAAGTCTCTACATTATCATTTTGGGCTATTCCAACATGATTTTCTCTATGTTTTGGTCTCTTTGCACAACACTCTCTACTATAATGACTATATCTTTTGCAATTATAACACTGAATATGTGATTTATACTCTGATTGATGGTAATCATATTTTTTGCATTTATTACATCGGATGTGAGATTTACCTTGAGAAGTTTCATTCTCTGTTGCTCCTTGTCTTGAAGTCGTTCTAAAATTTGTTCCTCCTCTACCTCCAAAATTCAATCTCTTTGACTATGTTGTGATCTAGACATCTCGTCCTTTAAATTTAATTTAGTCTTTAAAGTTTGTTCTATCGTGCTTAGAGATCTTTCATTCATCCACATCTCACGTGACTCTAATGAATCTTGTAAATCATTAAGGGTCATGGTGTCCAAGTTTTTAGACTCTTCAATAGTTGTCACCATATAGTCGAATCGACTTGATAACGTACGTAAAATCTTCTCCATGATATCTCTCTCATTTATTTGGTCTCCATTATTCTTCATCTCATTTATTAATTTCTCCATTCGTGAAAAATAATCATGAATATTTTCCTCTGTGCGTTGCTCCATTAGCACAAACTGTCTTTTCAATCATTGTAGTCAAATTCGTTTGACTGGATTTGCACCTTCATACATTTTGAGTAAAATATTTCATGTTTCTTTTATTGTTTTGACATGAAATATTTTTTCTAGGACCGTCAACTTTACAAATTGACAAATTAAAAATAAAGGCTTCTCATTTAACAAATTATCACGAACCAAGTCTTGTAAACTTGTTGCTGACGACTTTTTCTTTTCGACAAAACCATTATCTAGAATTTCACTACAACCATCGCTTCTCAAACATAGCTCCATTAAGTGTTTCCACATCACAAAATTATTTTTGCCATCAAACTTAAAAATTGATGGCGGCACTTGTTGAATTTGAACTCCTTTTGTTGAACTAGAAGCGATACTGGTCAAACCCTACGTTCTGATACCAAAAATTGTCAATTTAATTTTATTGTTATTGCCTAGAGAACGATTTTTATAAATTTAACAAACAGGCAACATTCACATGATCATCAACATCATAGATAAACTATATATGAACATATAGTTACGTTTAATGTATACATACAGAGACATATATACGAATATGATATGCAATCAACAAATTTTTTTAGGTCACAGGTTGGTCTTTTCCTTATTTTAGTGATGAAGATCAATCACGGGCATATTTCAATGACTATAAAAGCCAAAACACTCCATGCTTAATTTAAGAACTAATTAAGAAAATGCAATTTGTGGTTAATTTTTTATGCATTAATAAATTTGCCAAGTCACAGCGACGGCTGACACACATATACAAGGCTTCTTGTTTAATTAAGTAATTAATTAATTAAATTTAAAATAAATTTATCCTAAGTTAATGTGATTAATAGGGTTAATCTATGCTAGCTAGGTTGTAATATATGCTTCAACTAAATAAAATAAAACTTCCCCAAATGTCTATGTTATTGGACGATTAAACATGTAAATTATACTTTTGCTCTCCTCATAAACTTTCAATAATGATATATTCTTCTTCGTTGATTTTTCATAATTAAATGCTTCTTTCTACTCAATTCATGAGTATTAATATTATATTTGTTAATGATAATTGAATTTGATATTTTTTTTAGTACAATGTAGTATATATATATATATATATATATATATTGAGAGCCTTAGACAAAATTTAAATCTCTACCCTCCAATTTATTTGATATGGATAAATACTCTTACACATTAAAAATATTAATTTTTAAAAAATTATACCAAATTTAATTCAAATGTTACTTATATAATTTATCTTAAATTTTTTATTATTGAATTTAATTGAGTGAGTTACCCATAACGAGGGGGATTCAATTTAAAATAGTGATTAGATATCATATCCAAAAAAAAAAAAAAAATTACTCATTTAATAATATAAAAAAATAAAAGAAAAAAAATATACAAAAAAAAAAACCTCTCTCTCTCTCTCTCAAAAAGGTTATGCTTATGTCATTCCTGTAAAAAAGAAGAAAAATTATTTTATTGATTTATTTTTTTAAATTTAGGTTTGTACAAAAAATATTTATATAGTAAATATTTTTATATAATTTATTATTTATTATTATAATAGTGTATTAATTTATACACACTAATTCTAAAAACTTATAATTTTTTTTTTTTTTGTGAATTAAATATTAACTCTATAAATTTTTAATATTGTACAAACAATATTGTAATGATACACACAATCCTCTAAAAAATAATAATCATTATTATACCTCTATAATAAAAAGAGTAATTGACCCATCTTTTCTTTTTAAAATTGATTTGAGGGTTTTGCAAATTTAGTAAAGTGAGTTGTTGGGTAAATTAAATATGGGAGGACAGCTTGTACGTGTTGCCTTTGTGGGTTGCAGCTATTTTTTTTATCCAACAAATAAATAAATAAACAAAAAATAATAATGATTTTTTTTAAAAAAAAAAAACTAATTACCATATTTTTAGGATACATTCATTTTATTTGTATTTTATTTCATTTTCACCTAATCTTTCTTATCCAATTATTATTCAACACCAATTCTCTCTCTGCATAAACAATGTATACATATATAATATACACAAATGTCAGAATACTCCTTTGAAAAATATAAAAATGTTAAAAAGTATCATTTCATGAGTACTACGAGTTATCACAATCTTTCGCGTTTAATTTTAATTTTGTTATTAATTATTACTAATACCTTTTGGTATAACTTAATTATAAATTATTATAGTTAATTAAATATGTCTACAACTTTTTTAAGTATCATCTTTAATTGATTTGAAATTTAATCATGTTGAAGAATCTAAAGGTTTTGATTAACCCATTAATAATTTAATAGTTAAATTTATTGAATTTAAAGGTATCTAAGAAAAGAAAAATCAATTATACGAAATTACAAGCTTAACTTCGACCAACCAATATTTACTTAAATATTTGATACGAATTGAGTTCTACTTAAATATTATTTCTATTATATTTTAATAACCGACGTATATGTATCTTTTAATTAATAAATAAATTATATAAAATATTTAATTATATTTTAATTTTTTCTATCAGTGTGATTACGAGATAAGATTGTAACAATTTCATCAACAGAAGAAACTCGACTTAATATAGTAATTAAGAAATTTGATTATATTAATATTAGTGATTTTTGTGACATATTATATATATATATATATATATAGACGAGATATTAAATATTTTCCTAAGTGGCTAGAATTGGTTTGATTTGACAAACTTAAAGTTAGCTAAACATTTTTGAACAAGAGGAATTACATATGATGATGAAGATTAATAAAAACTATGCATTCTTTTAAATTTTGTTTTTCTTAACCTTGTACTAATATTTACAAACATTTTATTTTAGAGAGAAGAAAAGCACCAAGCAGCTAACTTAAGGTTAGTTGATATATTTTGAATTTATTATTTAAAAATTATTCACTAATTTATTAATTATATACAGTGTTTGTAGTACAAAGATAATATATTTTTAATTTCAATTAATGAAGTTTGATTTCTTAATAAAATCTATCAACCCAAATAATAAGTTTAATCAAAACTTAGATATGGATTTTCGTAAAATAAAAGTATTAACTGAAAATTTATCTACATAATCATCATTATCAAACTAATTAAATGGACACAAGAGAGTAAATCAACAATAATTATACAAAATTAATTATTTACATTGAATTTCTGATTCTCCCTAAAAATTTAGAACTTGGTAAATTTATACCAAACATAAAATTTTATTTACAAATAAAGTAGATTTAACAAAATCATTTTCATATATGTGATTTGAGTTTAATTAAATTCATTTGAGTGTGTTGATGCATGTGTTACGAGTTTATAAAAGTGTTTCAAAATAGTATAAATAACTTCAAGTTGAAATTATTATGATACCTACTAAAATATGTTAGGAAAGTATTTTTAATATAAGATATAGTATTATATTTAATTGATTATGTTATAAAATTAAACAGGTATTTTATATATATATATATATATATATAAAACAGAAGGAAAATCATGTGCTTAATAAGATGTTTGGATTTTCACTCCTGTAAAAGATAGCAGTGCAAAACCTAAAACAAAATACGACTGCGTTTTAATTTTTTAACTTTAATTACGTTTGAGAAGTAAAACGTTAAAAGAATTAAGACTGAGTTTTAACTTTTTACCATGTACACTCTCACTTCGATTCTCACGGTAAATGCAATACTTGCGCCTTAATCACAGGCTTTTCTCACTCCTGTTCCTCTGTCCTATTAAATCACCAACTCTCTCTCTTTCTCATTCTCCGATCCTTCCACAATTCTCGACTCAGGCTCCGGTGTCTCTCGCTGAGATCTCGTCGGAGAAACATGCCGGGAACCTAACTGCCATTTACCTCAATTCCTTTATTTTGCCCGTTCTCTTCCTGCTGTACATTATCAACCGTTTAAGCTTTTTTTTTTCAAAACGTTACCCGCTGTCTAGAAGGAGCATTTTCTGTTGATTTTGTGGAGTTTTAGCTTGGAATAGATCATGTTGTTTCTGGGTTTTTTCTGGTTTTGATAATGTCGGTGAGTTTGCGAAATATTTTGTGATGTTTATTCTGGGTTTCTTTCTGGTTTTTGATTAGTAGATAGTCGTGGAGGAGCTGGAGTAAGGTGACACGAGATTTCTTTTTTTATAATTTCGGGATTAAGACAAGAAAAATGTACGAAGTCCAATCTTTTAATACAAAGTTTACTGTAGCCGAGGGAGTTGAGCGTTTCGAGGTGTTTCTTGATTAGGTGAATTTAAGTTTTGGAGAAACCAACCGCGTCTTGTGTGGAGATAAAATTGATATCTGGTTGTTATTAGAATAATGATGGGAGTCAGAATTTTGCATTATCTTTTTCTGTAACTCTGCTTTTGGGTTTAAAAACCCAAGTTGTCAAATCCTGTTAAATGTTAGCGTTGGATCTCTTAACTTAAACTCAAGGTCTGCTACTAGCATCGAGGATAGTTAAAAAAGAAAAAAGTTTGCACTAATATTTGTTGAATTGGGTAAATTTTTGGTAGCCAAGGAATGGTGTGTTGCAATGTGTAAAGCAGAGGAGAGTAATGAGAAGCGCTACTGTAAGAGATTTTGGGAGATGAAGATGAAACTTTTAGGAGAAAGCAAGGTTGAGAACTTAAAGAGTTCTATGGTTTCGAGGTCTCGAATGAAGCTTTGGATGATTAGAGCTGTAATGACAATATTAATGTGGAATTGTGTTGTTCAGTTGATGGCACTGGGGGAGATGTGGGGGCCAAGGTTGTTTAAGGGTTGGCCTTCTTGCTTCACTCACTCTGTTTCTCCTTTGGCTGTTGGATTTTCTTCTGTTCCAACCAAAATCATTCTTCCTCCAAAGAGTAAGTTTTCACCTACCTTTTCTCAGTGTTTCGTCATTCTTAATGTTATTAGAAAAAGGTGTTGATGTTTGTGAAGAAGATCGAGCTGGTGGTTATTTTTAACATGGAATATGAACCATGTTGCAGAAGAAACTTGCTGTCTTGATCATTTCATGTGATTATTTTGCGGTTTCTCATATTAGACACTTTTTTTCCCAATTTATTTTTTCACTTAAAAGTGGATTTTATCTTTTTACATACTTTGTGCAAGAACCTTTGGCTTATGGATTCCGCCTTTTGCTTGGTTAATTTATCATTTAATTCTGTTTTTATTAACATGACTTGCTTTCGCTGTAAAAGTTTGGAATCCTAAATGGCTCCTCGTACCTGTATTTCTGAACTTGTAGCTGTTCTTCGCAGGAGTATATAAGAATAATGGCTATCTTATCGTTTCTTGCAATGGGGGACTGAACCAAATGCGTGCAGCGGTAAGATAACAGCTGATTCTTAACAATATGTGTCAATAGTTTGTCATTGAAAAAATCCTTCTCCTTGGCATATCTTTCTTCTTTGAGAACATCCTTCTCCTCGGTATATTTTCATGTTTGGGGTTACTGTATATAAATAGCTTTCTTTTGGATCTTCTATGCAGATATGTGATATGGTCACCATAGCCCGATATTTGAATGTTACTCTTATAGTTCCAGAATTGGATAAAACTTCATTCTGGAATGATCCAAGGTATGTTGTTCACTCATGCCTCACTTCCTGATACAAAACCTTTTTGAAGGTTCCTTGATTCTAATACAGAATCATCATTAGTTTCTTTTTTGATTTTCCATAAGCAGTGAGTTCCAAGACATATTTGATGTCGATCATTTTATAAGCTCATTAAGAGATGAAGTTCGAATACTTAAAGAGTTACCACCTAGGATCAAGAGAAGGGTTGAATTGGGAATGTTCTATTCATTGTCCCCAGTTAGCTGGTCTGACATTTCTTACTACCACTACCAGGTTGGTTGTCCATCATATGAAGCTAAAACTATCCTTTTCCTGAATTATTGTGTCTGACTTTCTGATGTTTTTCTCAATAGATTCTTCCTCTGGTGCAAAAATACAAGGTTGTACAGCTAAATAAAACTGATGCCCGGCTTGCTAATAACGGACTACCTCTCGAGATTCAAAAGCTGCGTTGCAGAGTAAATTTCAATGCTCTCAGATTTACTCCCCAGATAGAGGAACTTGGCAGGAGGCTGGTTGCAATTTTGAGGGAAAAAGGCCCTTTCCTGGTCCTCCATCTAAGATATGAGATGGACATGTTGGCTTTCTCTGGCTGCACTCATGGTTGTAATAGTGAAGAGGAAGAAGACCTGACAAGAATGAGGTATTATCACATGGAAGTTTCAACTTAATTATTCACAATCTTATTATTTTAGTTATGTCTAGTGACTCTAATCATGTGTTTCAGATATGCTTATCCATGGTGGAAGGAAAAAGTCATAAATTCTGAAATGAAAAGGAAAGAAGGTCTGTGTCCTTTGACACCAGAAGAAACTGCTTTGTTATTAACTGCAATGGGTATCAACCACAATGTCCAGATTTACATTGCCGCTGGAGGAATTTATGGTGGAGAAAGAAGGATGAGAACTTTGGCAGCAGCTTTTCCTAATTTGGTTAGTAGAAGTAAGAGTAACTTTTCTTTATCATTTTATGAGTACAAGTTTTCATGGGTTGATTTGCGATTATGCAACAGGTCAGAAAAGAGGAACTGCTTGAACCATCAGATTTGAAACTTTTCCAGAATCACTCATCCCAAATGGCAGCGCTGGATTATCTTGTTTCCTTGGAAAGTGATATATTTGTTCCCACTTTCGATGGAAACATGGCTAAAGTTGTTGAAGGCCATCGGAGGTACTACTTTGATTTTTATGGTCTAAGTTCTCATTGCCTTCTCAAACGGGATGAAAGAATCTCTTTCCAATAGCTTAGTACGAGTCTTTCATGACCTAGATGTTACTCTGTTTACGAAAGTAGGAGACATTCCCAACTGCTTTAACTACAGGAATATTTCTCTTCCATAAAACTAAAATTCAGTCTGACTTATATTTATTCTGATTTTCATCAGATTCTTAGGATTCAAAGAGACTATATTGCTGGACAGAAGACTATTGGTTAGATTAATAGATCGATACCAAAATGGGTTATTAAACTGGGATGAGTTCTCCACTATGGTGAAGGAAATTCATGCTGATCGGATGGGAAGGCCTAAGAAACGAGTAGTGATTCCAGATAGGCCAAAGGAAGAAGACAATTTCTATGCCAATCCGCAGGAATGCTTGCAGCCGTTAGATGAATCATTAAGAAGCACATGATTCTGTGTCATGCCATTGTCATGATCTTGATAGGTATATACTCCGTATCCACACGTATATTTATCAAAGATAACAGTCAAGTTCTATTAGAGCTTGGGTTCTAAGAGAATTGAGAGTCCTGTGCCTGGATGCTCACTCATTTAGAGGAATCTAGGATGTTAAATCACTCTTGTATTTTCAATAAACAGAGGGTACTTGTATAGAATGAAAAAGAAATATGCCACTGGAGGGTTACATATCAAAAAAGCTGCACTGTAAAGAGTGGAAATTAAAATTGTTTTTGTTTTCAATTTAACTATCTGCTATCAGGATATTTCCTGTCAAAAATTTTCATAACCTTGCAGTTTTGTCAGCATGAATTATGTAATCAGAAAATACATTTTGCCCTATTTTCTTCTGGTTTGTTGAATTTGACTAACAATAAATAAATAGTGGGCATCAAATACTGCACGTGATATGATTCATTTTAGAAATAATTGCTTGTTTTAGAGGCAGAAGACCTGATTATGTGCTTGTAACTACATTAGATTTTTCTGCATGATCTGCTCCTACCTTTTCAAGAGAAGAATCACAATCCATGTGCTATATATATATATATATTATTTGTGTGCGTGTATGTGGGTGTGCCCACGCGTGTGTACGCAAACAATAAACAGACAGTTACATCAAATTTCCCCCTCCCTTGGTGAAAAACAGAATCCATTGAATCTGAGAAAATCTATCCATCTACCCGTCTTGTTTATATTGTCTCTGAACTACATATACGTGTTAGTGTTGATACAGTTATATATGTTTACGTATACGTATGTATGAGGGTGGAGAAAGGAATCTTCGATTATAAATGATTTATATAATACTAATGTTTTTGGTTCAGCTCTGCCAAATCATGATTCATAAAATGTATTTGAATCCATTTCTAAGTCATTATATTATAATAAGTATTTGATTTGGTTAAAATAAACGAGCCTACTCCATTACGATCTCACCATCTAAAAATACAAAAGAAATACACACACAATCATATGGCGGTTCCATAATGATTGCCCACTTCCTACTCATACCCAATAATTATTTTTCTTCATATTCAAATCACAACTCCAAGATCCCAAGGCAGTCATTTCCAAGATAATACAGTATCACTTACACAGGTAAGCTGAGGAGCAAACAGTAAAAATGTCTAGTTGGTGATTGTGCTAGTAGGAGAATGGGGAGTGATCCAAAGAGAATTTTTTCACTGATCCAAGAAAATTTTTATGTGGGTGATCCAGATCCAAGAAGATAAGTCATCCTCCATTAAAGAAACTTAAGGTAGATAATAATAATAATAGTCATATGGGTGGCTACCAGTTTTCCCATATTTGCACTAATACCGGTGAGTGGCAAATTCAGGCACTTAACACACTATTAAACGTAGCTTTCACACTACACACAAAAGAAAGAAAGATAGATCAGTTTCTAAGGAAGTGGATGATAAAAAAAAATTCAAAAGACTTCATGATTCCTAGTTTTGCACATCAGACTTAAAACAGCCCAAGTTGTTGAAGTCTTTAAACAATACTTTATGTGGCATATTTTAATGTAGTTTTCCTAAAGTCTTAATCAGTAAAATTCTCTATTGGATTAATCTGTAAATTGAATGCAATTCAAGCTTACATCATGATTATGTCAAGTGATCACAAATTCCTTCCAACTTAATGTAGTTAAATTACTTGAGCTTCTAATGGAATCAGTCAAACAATGAGTAACTGGAGTGGGGTAATGGCTTCCTCACGGTTTAAAAATGAAAATAAACTAAACTTCAACAGAAAAGTATTACCTAAAATGCTGCTAATTTAGGTTGAATATTAGGTGCAGAGTTAGTAAGGTCACGTCTTCTATATAGCATAAAATGCTAAGATTTTAGTTGGATTATATCTTAAGATTGCCTTTTCATATTTTGTCAAATCATACAACTTTCTGGGGGAAAAGAAACTAATTTTCCACTCAATTCATAATCAAATCCTAATTTTAAGTTCTACATCATAATTAAAAACAAAATCTCTATTTCTGTCCACATTTTGAATTCCTTAAAATGGTAAAAAAATTCAACTTTCACTGTCAAAGTAATGATTTTAGATTAGCAGAAAATTTGCTCTAGAGAGTATCTTAGAGCTCTGAGTCTGAGCCTCCTCAGTTCTCACAAATGTAAACCATCAGACTAAAACCCAGGTGCAAGTAATAATAATTTAAATGCAACAAATTATGTTTTAATTCTCTATATTAGAACTAACACAAAAACTGGAACAAAAATCAAGTAGAAACAAAATAAGAATTAAACCAAACACTCACCTTCTAAATCTTCAGTAATCAAAATTCTATTCCATGGACTTAAAAAGGATCCAGACTCCGGGAAACAAGACTATGCATGCTAATGGTCAATCTCCTCAGACTCTTACTTGCTCATAGATCGTAATCCCAGTTAAAGGCATCCACAAATTCAAGACCAAACTCAACTCAGAAAGCGTGCAAATTGCTTACTAAATGACAGGATTTTGGGCAAACTTAAAGCAGTAAAAGCATCCCATGCACAAGGAATCCCGCTATACTGTACAACCAAGTAAGAAAATAAACCTTTGCATACAAAACAGATTGCTTCGGGATAACCAGCAACTTCCCAAGCCTCTACCTTAACAGAGAAATACAGACAAAAGAATGTTCAACATTTTTTTTACCCCAAATCATGGCAACTAGGCAGACCAAAGAGCATAACCATGTACAATCGGTCAGAACCTAGCTTATCTGTAGATTATGGTGAAAACAATGAACCCCACCCCTTGTAAGTAACAAACTGGAAAAACTAAAAGAACAGGTGATCAGAATAATACATAAGCTTTCTTATCTTCTGACCCTCTTATGAGGCTGATCAGAACTTTCATTACAGTTCTGAACTCCAGTTTGCAACATCATTTGATTGTTTGGGATTTGGTTCTCATGATCCTGGATGAACAACAAAACAAATTTAGCAAGGTTAAGAAAAGATACAGGATATTTGAAGGATACTAACTTTTTCTCTTTAACAAACAAACCTCTGAACCCGATGCAGCAGGATAAAAGCCACTATTTGCTCGCTTGCCGACATCAATTTGCACAGAGATGCTAGCCTGTGATAAATCCATTCCTGACGATTGCAGAGCTTGAGTCAGGGCATTCAATATCCTGTTCAACATCAAAAACATTTCTTAACAGCAACACCTTACCATATCTATCTTTATACACCAAACTTGTCATTCCAATGCATCAACAATTAATATATAGTGATTTTCACCCCAAAAAAAAGACAGTTACAAGTAATTGGTAGTCTGACAATAGCAGGGCATTGGTGGAAAGGGACAGAAACAAATAAGTTATTAGCAACAACAGGAAGTCTCTTAAGACATTGAAAAGCTCAAAAAGAAAAAATTGGGAAGGGAGGGGGAGGGGGGGGGGTCAGTGTTATTGTTGTACAAACTTCTAATGACCACAGGCAATAAGTAAAGCTCAGACAGAGAAGCCAATCCTCTAGATGAAGAGCACTAACATCTAAAAATAAAAAATACGAGAAGTCATTTCAGAAGATAAGCTTGCTTTAGGACTCTTAAGCTAAGTACAGACTACATCTGCACATTTCAAATAAATTGAATTAGGCTAAGAATTAACTGAATGGTCTCTTCGTAAGGAACATTTTATGATTTACAATGGCCCAAAACAAGTAACTAAAAGTAATGCTTCATATAAATGATTTATTCTCAAGGAATGTTTTGCAATGCAGATAGAAACTGTTGCTATATTGTATATTGCATCATTAAATCCTGCGATTTTATGATAAATAGGCATTTAATACAATAAGTGTTTTAGTTGGGCAATTAACTTAATCAATTTTTTGTTACTCACTGAGGAGGCTCACCCTTGAGAATAGGCAGTTGATAAACTAACCGATCCACCTTCAATGTTAAGGTCATTCTGTTCACTTGTATCATTTAGAAGAGTCGACCCAGTTATACATGGTCTACCCTGCCATAACTGGGAATTGGATTGGTAAACCATGTTCTCAGCTGCAACGGGAACAGATTCCTGCAAAGATTGGGGAGGCATAACAACATTTCCAACAGACGCAAATGTGTTTTGTTCTGTTCGCAAGTTGGAGAGAGCCACAGAATTAGCCAATCCAGTGGTATAATCTGCTGCTTTGTATATTGTAGCAGGCTCCAGATCAGATTCCACTGGATTTGGGACATTTGAAAGCACCACTGATGGAAGAACGTTGTTTTCAGGACCAGAACCATTCTTTGTATCTTGAGAGTGATCCATAAAACTTTCAGCAGACCTCTGATGACTTCTCTGTTTCAGACATATAAAAACGATCATAATGATGCCTTCAGAATAAAATAAAATATGCAAATCTATAGTAGCCATACAGATCACAACTCTTCCTATTTCTAGGAAAAGAATAACCAAGTTCTCCATCCTCCCCCTTCAAAACTTGAACATCACAGAACCCAATCAAGAGGAAGCCAAAACCATTCAAATTCAAAAGCTACAATTAGGCTACATCAATGCACAGAACAACGAAAAAGCACTAACTTTTGCAGATGCAATCAGAACATACATCAATTAAAGAATTGCCAAGCTAAAAAATTTACTTGAGTATCTATTTTCAGGGAAGCTTCCAACTTCATCAGCATTTAGAACATCACTCGCTACATTAATGAATCAAGGAAAAAATAAGAAGCAATTTTTTGCAGATTCTTTCTTTTTTTTTTTAAATAAAATTTTTGCAGATGAGATAAGAATGTATATCAGTTTAAAAGAATTACAATAGCTAAAAATTCACTTAAATGTCTATTCCCTGGAAACTTCCAACTTCACCAGCATTTTGGAACAATACTGCATACCTACTAAAGTTCTAGTTATCTTGAAATCAACATGCTGGATTTCAGGATGACCATACCACTGGTCAAAATACAACAAATTTGGTTAGCAAGAAGTGAAAACAGTGGTTGAATGAACACTCAGTAAAACCAAAAGATATCAACATGATTCAGGTCCAGACTTTCAGGAAAAATGACATGCAAAGTTTGCAAGGTATGACATGTGGCACAAGCACAACCCGGTTCATATGACAAACATGATTGTTGTATAGGTCTCTCGAAGAAGATATGGCTATAGTTTAATTGCATGTCGCTCCCATTTGACCTCATGATTTTTTT